AGTTGAGGAAATTGTTGAATGCTTACAAAATTAACACTGCTATTTGTCTTTGTAATATTTGAGTTTTTTACAATATTATAGTAAGCAATTTTATGAATCTGTAATGTTTTAATCCACGTTACAAGCATGTCACGTTATAGTAGCTTTGAGATATTTCATCATTAATGATACTATACCAAATATACCCCTAACATTAATTGATTCAGTTTTTTTAAATATAGTTTTTTAAAAACAGTTGATTGTAGTTTTTAATGTTGACCATTAATGTGATTGATCACTTTTCTTTAAAAAATAGATGGCGTAAGATTTCAATTGATATTTTTTTTTATAAAACAAGAGGTGTACTTCAACTAGTACTTATTCCATTTTCTTCATAAAAATGGCATAAGAAATACCATATTTTGATTTAAGTATTGATTATGATTCAGAGAATTTACTATTTCATGATGTTGAAGATTCATTTGAAGAAGACGGAGAGGATGGCTTCCATCAAAATGAATTTGAGGGTGAAGTGAACTCTCACCATGATGTTGGACATGAGGTTGAAGGTTTTGATGATAACATGCTGGATTTTGGAAATGAAGTTGAAGGCGTTGCTAATGAGATGTTGAATTTTGGACATGAGGTTGAAGATGAGCCAAAGATTCCAAACAATGAAGAAATAAAAAAAATGGTTGATGATATACTAAAAAACTACATAGGAGTAGATTTTTAATGGTATGTGTGTTTGAATATGAGAGCAATTCAACAATTTATTTAATACTACTCCTATAAAATGAATCTCTAATATTTTATTTTTATTTTAATGGTATGTGTATTTAGGTAATGTTTTATTTTCATTTAGTTGTGTTGCTTCCTGGCATTACTATTGTTGATATATTATAAATATTATTGTAATATTTCATCATATTTTAGAATATCCATCAGCGTGCAATGGCCATTTGTGCTACTATTATGAGAACTATTGTAGCGTACTTCTACTAGTATGATGAAATATCTTAAAACTATTATAACTTGACATGCTTGTAACGTGGATTAAAACATTACAAATTCATAAAAATTGTTTACTACAATATTGTAAAAAACTCAAATATTACAAAGACAAATAATACTGTTAATTTTGTAAGCATTCAACGATTTCCTCAACTAATTCCCTATCACAATTTAGTTGAGTGGACAAATGGCTTGTCTAATCATCGCATCTTTTTTCATATGAGGAATTTTGTAATGATTCGATCTTCGAACTTTTATTATATCAATCATACACGATTTAAGTGTGAGAAATATTTTGTTTGACTCCATGCTAGAGAAATATTTTGCACGACTTGAATAAGTTCATTAACTGTCTTCGTCCCATTCTTTTGTAGTAATGCTTGAATGACTGCAAAAAATCCTAAATCTAAAATATTTTAATAAGGAGAAATAGGTGGTTGAGATATCAAACGAATGTCAAATCCACCTTCAGAAGCTGCAACTAGAAATTTCTCATCGTTTATATAAATATGACATGGTGCATTATCTTATTGTATGTAAATTATTTCTAATAGATGTTCTCGTGACCAATTTTTTTTAGTGGCTGGTAAAACCTTGTTTATTAAAAACTCTTGACTAACTTCTTTAGTGATAGAAGTAATCAATTTTGTTTCAAGTGTCCCCGATGGTCTATTAACACTTAGTCTTTTCGCAGGTACTTTACCAACTAGAGGAAACGTTAAAAAATTTCCCGACCATGTTTCATTACCTTCGTTGTCAAATCCAGGTCTTGCCACGACAACTAAAAACATAACTTTCATAATGAAATTCTTGTTCTTGCTTGAACGATATGGTTCATCCTCATTTGCAAGTAGGTAGTAGTTCTTTTTTTTGTCATATAGAACAAATTTTCATCTATGTGAACAACATTGTACATTGCCTTAAATTTTGGATCATATGGAATGCTACTTTCTTCGAGCATGGACAAGCAAAATCTAATACGAGCTTTCATATTATCTTCTATCATATGGGGTTTTAATGCATTTGAATGTCGATGCAAAACACCTTTTTTAAATACTCTACTATTTTTTTGGACTAGTCTCTAAGGCAAATGCTAGAGATCAGATATTGCTATGTTGAAGTATCGGTAAATCCCACATTTTCTCAAAATCTATTTCAACTCTCTTACGACCACACTTTTTTGTTTTCTTATGAGAAGTATCCCCAATTTCTTTTGCGTGCTTCCAAATTCGATAAACAAAATCTATTGATACTTGTTAGGAAGAAGTCAATCGTTTAGCAATTCCTTTTTTAATTTTTCCATCAAAACTTGAATTATTCAACACCTGAAAAAATTATTGCGTTGACTATTATGTAAAAAACAACGTTTTTTTTGAAATGTTTGCAGCTCGCTGTGAATATCATTTCCTGTTTCATGAAATATAACATATATTTAAATATGTGAAAAAACATTAACATTAATAAAATCAAATAGTACTCCTCTTTTGCTTCTTTAGTGAGACACATCACAAACATACTAAGCATTAACATAAAAAGACATGTTACATAAGCTTAATACAATATTGACACATTAAAATAGAAGCATTAAAAGATGATAAAGTATTACTAACATATTACTACTCCATTGACACATTACTACTATACTTTCATGCAATTGGAATGGAAAAGAAATGATACAATGTTATGAAAAATAAATGACAAATAACTATAAAAGTAAAGCAAGTATTACTAACGTAGTCATATCTAAAGGTGAAGTGTAGAATACATACCTGAAAAAATACTTTCGATTTGATTTTCATTAAGATTGTCAATCTCATCATCACAAAGCTTTTCAATTTCATTTATTTCAACCATATCTTCTTATTTTTCTCCTTATTTAGATAGAACAACTTCAAACTCATTTTCAAGTATACGTTCTTCTCCTTCTTTAGATAGAGATCTTCAAACTCACTTTCAACTATACATTATTCTTCTTCTATTGATGAATTTCAGTCAATATTCAAATGAGAATTCAAATCAATATTCAGAGGTGTATTAGAGATGTGGTTAGAGTTGTAAAAGTCATTCAAAAGACTGTTTAAATCAATATTCAAAGACACATTTGAGAGGTGATTGCTGGTGTTTAAGTCATTCTAAGGAGTATTCAACTCAATATTCAAAGACATTTTAAACTAACAAATTTACAAGCTTAGATTTTGTTCTTCATGTTTTTATTTCAATTTATAAAAGTGAGAGGAACTTTATTGTTTAAAAACATTCAACAAAAAATTGAATTTTGGATATTTTGTTATGAAATTTTTATGGCGCCAATGCTTAACCTCTTTTTTTTAGGAAGTGAACAAATTGAATTTGTTTATAAACTGGTACAAAAGGAGTACCATTAAAAATATACTCCTATGTAGATTTTTAGCATATCATCAACCACTTTCTTTATTTTTTCATTATTTTGAATCTTCACCATATCTTTAACCTCATGTCCAAAATTCAAATGAATCTCCTTAGGATGACTTAAACACTAGCAATCACCTCTCAAATTTGTCTTTGAATATTCAAAGACTATTTCATGATTTTTGATATCATAAAAGTTAATTTCTACAACCGTTAGAGAAATTTATGACTTTTAACTCTTAAAATTGATTTGTGAAGATAAAACAATCTAATAAATTCGAATCACTGATCTAATATAATTTATCACTTAAATAACCAAATTACCACAAACAATTTTTAAATTTCCAACACAATTAATCAATTTTGACATCCTTATCAACTTTCCATTAACTTCCAAATCCATCGTAAAAATAAATTTACAAAACCCATCATTCAATTTCCTAAATAATTCTTTTTAAAATCAATTTCTATAGTCCTAAAAGTTAGTGTCTAGAAATATGACATTCAATTTTTATATAACAATATATTTAATTTTGATAGAATGTTATATTCTAATTTTGCTTTTTCAAAAAAATTGTAATTGGCGGCATTATATAAAAACATTTTTTAATATTAAAAAAAAAAACTTAGTAAATATTGTGCTCCCGCCAAAACGAATTGCCGCGCCCTTTCCTTCCACCATAATATCTTTCTCCGTGTTTTTCTCTCAAACACCTTGTCGACTTCGCCCTAGATCCATTTCTCTCTTCTCTCAGCTGCCGCATCGGTGAATCCAAACCTATCCAAGGTGAAAGCTCTTTCTTTTATTTTCGATTTCACATTCTTCTCTCACAGATCTGAAAAACCCTTTCTTCAAAAGCTCTTTCATTTCATTAGTATATTGTTTCAACCCTAATTTTGTTTTAGAATATTAGTCGCGTTTTTCTTCTAATCTGTTTCAATTCGATTATGCATTTGTTTATATCTCCAAAATTTGAGTTATTTGTTCATATTGCGATTGTGAAGGCTTGTTTTGAGGTGTTTTGAGGTGTTCATATCTCCAAAATTTAATGATATGAACCCTAGTTATGTTATAATGTCCGGAGATTGATTTTGATGAAATGAACTTTTTTTCAATTGATGCAAATTAGGTTTTATAATTGGATCTGATACCTTTATTTTGTCTGAATTTAATGGTAGGATTTCTTTGGTAGTAAATCTGCATGTTTGGTTTAGTTGATGTTTTCCCTTGCTTTGTGTTCTTTATTATGATAGTTTATGTCTATGTTTTGTATAGTTATGTTGAATATTGCTTTGGTGATAGCATTGTTGTTCATGTTAATTATGTTGCTTGATGTTTGGAATTGATGTAGGTTGTGAAGTGCGTTGTGCATTTGCTGGACAGGACAAATTAAGGTATTTATGTTTTAACAGTTTTTGAAATCATGTGAACTTTGTTTCTGTAGCATGTTTAGTTCTAGAACAAGATGTGTTGCTTTCATAAAATACTAGTGTGTTGCAATAAGTTTTCTTCTAACTATGTATTTTTTTTACTGTTTCCAGTGGTTTGAGATTTTTGATAGACTTTAAGGGAAAATTGGGAGAATTTAAAGATTGTGATTTATCATTAGGGAATCCAAATGGACATTGGCCGGTGTGATCAACTTCATTATATCAAAACTATCAAAGGTGGTTTGGTTACAAAAGTCCTAAATGTGTTTCGCGGGCGGCCAAAACTTTCATTCAGAAGTCTTGCAGATATACATGAACGTGAGAGCCTCATGTTTGATAATGATGATGGAAAGGCTGAAAGACTATGTGTTGATGTATTAGAGGAAGGAATGGTGAAAACTGAACCTGATGTTTTGGCGTGTGAGGCTGATGATGGAGAGAGATTCCATGACTTGGATGATGATGATGAGGACAATGATGATGATGATGATGATGAAGAGTTTTCCATTTTAACACTTAAGCAAATTAAAGCAAGTTGCAAATCAAGGAAGAGGAAACGCTCACAAGGTCTCAACTCTTCTAAAATAAAAATCAACATTGAAGATCCGTCAACTGTGGAAGACTACACAGAAAAGCAGCATATGGCAGAAGATGATCCTGATTTCATGGAGACTCTCAGTAGCTTGAAAACTAAACTATCAAAGAATACGAAGACCAAGAAGAAGAAGAAGAAGTGCCTAAAAGATCTTCCAATGTCCTCCCGGGAGATTGTGCTAGTTGAGCAATCCGAAGAGATACTTGACAGTCAAGAGTTCTCACCCTCTAGTGGAGATTCAGCTGCTATTGTTGAAATTAAATTTGATTGTCCTGAAAATGTTTGTTTTGATGGGTCATATGACTGTTCTGGTAGAGAAAGTAAAAGAGATCACCCAATTTCCTCCCAAGAGTTTGTGCTTGTTGATGAATTTGAAGAGGTACCGGGTGGTCAGGAGTTCTCACCCTCTAGTGGGGATTCAGCTGCTCTTGTTGAAGTGAATTTTGAGCGTCCTGAAAATTATTGTTTTGGTGGGCTAGATTACAGTTCTGGTAGAGAAAGTAAAGGAGACCACTCAATATCCTCACAAGAGATTGTGCTAGTTGGTGAATCTGAAGATATACAAGGTAGTCAGGAGTCCTCACCCACTAATGGGGATTCAACTGCTCTTGTTGAAGTAAATCACGAGTCTCCTGAAGATTGTTTCGATGGGCCAGAAACCTGTGGAGAAAGTAAAGAAGATGCAGAGATACCTTTTGAATGGAATTTGCAAAATGAATTAAATTACAAATGGAAAGGCTTTTTTGAAAGTATTCCAGTAGGAATGGTGAAGCCATCAAGTACGGGTAATGTAAGAAGTAATTCTGAACTAAGCAGCAACCACGTTACAAACTTTCCTGCAATAGAATTTGAATCCCATGGTAACTCCAACATTTCTGAGAATCAACTTGATGACACTGATATACCAGTCTCGCCACCTGAAGTAGCTAGTCATAAAAATCTTGACCATACAGGTCTGATGGTTAGAGATGATAATACTTTACTCGATGAATGCAGTGAAGATGAATTTACAGCTGGTGCTGAAGTTCAAGAAAAGCCCTGCTCCACTATTGAGCATGGACTCAATCCTGATGGATATCTGGTTTGTCGCTCAGATGATTCACCTGAATATGAGGATAAGCAATCATTTGATTCGATTGGCGAGGATGACACTAGTACATTAGTCTCACCATCTAAAGTGACTAGTCATAAAGACCTTGACTGTGCAGGTCTGGAGCTTAGAAGTAATGATACTTTACTTGATAACTGCAATAAAAATGATTATTCAGGTGGCTCTGAGGATCAGGATAAACTCTGCTCTACTACTGCTGAACCTGGCCCCAACCCTGATGGTTGTCTAATTTGTCCCTTGGGTGATTCACTTGAATACAAGGAGAAGCAATCTTTTGTTTCCTTATGTGATGGCGAGAAGATACATGTCAATGAGGCTACTGATGAATTGACTTCTTGTGATGACCGTGAAGGGTCAAAGTTGCATGGTCCTGAAAGGCTATTATCAACCAGAAAGGTGGAATGTTGTCACAATTTTTCTTGACTTGATTTTATGATTTATGTTATTTCTTTTCTCATTAATTGGTTTCTTTTCAGGCCATTTCGCCGACTTCTCAAGAAAAGCTCTGCAAAGCCATGGATTCCATTGATATTCGTCATAAAAACAATCTAAGTAAGTGCCCTAAGTATTGCGATGTGATCTAGATCCATAAGTGATAACAAACATTTTGATATGCAAAGGTTAAACCTTGCTGCTGTTGGTTGTAGTCACAGTAATGCTTGGAACTGCTAATGGGCTCTTATTTTGAGCGGAAAAGTAGTTTTTTTTTTTGTACTCTAAATAGGCTTTATGTGGAAGTGGCTTTAGATTTTTTCTTATTCATATAATAATTAGATTTTTGGTCTCTCTGAATACCTTGATCTTTTACCTAAGTTTGTTTTACTTATATTTGGTTATAATGATTTCAGAATGCAAAGGTGTACTACAATTTACTGAGGAAAACGATAAGAAGGGTGATGCAGAAGGGCTTAATGATATCACAAGAACTGAAGTTACTAGTATCCCTAACAAAACTGGAGTTACTCTAAAGACTTCAAAAAGTAGTATCAGTCTTAAGGCTGTTCCCAAGATTCGTAATTCTTCTCGTTCAGCAACTCATTTGGGGTGCAGCACTTTACAGAATTGCTCAAAGAGTGCTATTTCATTTTCAAAGCAGCAGATGCATGATGCAGAATCTCTTGCTATGAGACTCACAAAAGAGTTGAAGTCAATGAAGGACATTGTGGATGATATGTTACGATCTGAATTCTGTCTTAATACCTCTTTGAGATATAAAGTAAATGAGGTATGATACCCCACAAAACTTGTTCTTAGTGGATCTTTCATTCTTTTTACAGTAGAAATCATGACAATTTAGTTCAAGTCTATTTTTTAGAGTAATAGTGCAGTTTTTTGATTATGAAGTTTTTTAGTCCACATAGCTTACATAATTGTGTAACTTGTAAATTAGTCTGTTAGTTTGCAGATTTTTGGTCATTATTTGCCCAATCTGTCAATTGGTGAAGCACATATTATGCTGGCTATTTATAGTTTTCTCCTTCCTTCCTTAATCCAATTTAAAACTTTAAATTATAGAAATTTCTTGTAATTTCAAGTTTTTGTGTGTATGAATATACATTCAAACTGACATTTTACTAGTTATTAATAATAATTGATTTTCAGGCAAGAATGGCTGTCAAGAGTGCTACAAAAGCTGAAGAAGGTGCAAAGAGGTGGCTGTCCTTCATGTCAAGGGATTGCAACCGTTTCTGTAAAATAATGGTTTGTCCTCTATTCTACTAAATGATTGAAAGCCTACAAAGCACTTACATGTCAGATTGATGACATGTTCGGTATCTGAGACTAGTTGAATTCTAAACACGACACTGACACATGTCGTCAAATTAACTACTTCCATTTTCTTAAATCATTATGAATGTCTAGGTGTCAGTGTCTTGTGAAGTGTCTGATTCATTCCTCATAAATATGATCAACTCTGTATTCTTTAGTTTCCTGTTTCGTGTTTGGTTAACCACTGATCTTGATCAACTGCAGAAATTATCCGATAGTAGCTCTTCAACTTCACAAGACGTAGTCTCACCTCCACAAGTAGTGCGCAAAGAGAAAAAAATCGCCTTCGCCGATGAAGCAGGTGGAAGGCTCTGCCAGGTTAGAATCTACGAGGATGATGAGGAACATTTGTCAGAATCTAAGTGAAGGAAAATACTGCTTTAATAACATGACATTTTCTGTATATTAGCTTCTTAACAGCTCCCTTGTATTAATAGATTGATTGAAATTTTGTTTGTTACCATCTGTGCAACAAGTTAAGTCAATTGATACGTTGTATCCAGCTGAATGAAACCAATTATTCGACAAAGTTCTTAATGTTGTATTTTTCTGATTGAGTTGTTTGAGATCTGAAATGAATGCATTAGCTCATTTTTTCCTTCTAGTTACACCTTATAAATTTCTGCATAGACCCCTATTAAACAAAAATATCATACCCAATTTTTAAATTTAATATATTATTATTAATTTTATTTTTCTTCATTTTTCTCTTCTGTTTTTATGCTTTGGTCTTTCTCTTGCATTTCCTTCTTCTCGTGTCTTTAACTTCATCTCATTTTCAAAGTATTTCTAATTTTAATTTTCCATTTTTCACGTTTCATTAATTTTGCAATTTTTTTTTATAGATTTGATAAGGTAGACATGAACTGACTTTTACGTGAATTCACTTCCGTTTGCTGTCAGAGATTTTTCACTTATTTGTATTTTGTATTGTCTCATATTTACACGAATATTTATTACTCTTAATTTTAAAACTGATTGTAATTGGCTTTATAACATTAAAAAGGTGTATATATATAACTTAAAAGGAGAATCGAAATAACATATAGGGGCTATATAGTATTTTTTATTTCCTATTCATTAATTATTTTAACAAAAGGGGTAATATTTGGGTTGAGCCTCTTATAATTTGGAAAAGAGAATTGTGAAAAATTTGTATCACCCCTAGGATTTCATATTTCATATTTCAACAAGAGGATTTCTTATCTCAATCTTATAGGTGAAAAAATATCATAAAAAATTCAATATTGATTCGATTCTGGAGATTCATCTTCAAATGCGCTCTTATCTTAAGTCAAAACGTTACAACTGATTTGAAGATTCATCTCATAAATATTTCAAACCACATCCCATGCATCTCTCTCTAAAAGGCTTATTTTAAACGTTTATTGATCCGGAGATGCATCTCTGTTTAGGGTTTACGAACATACATACCTGTAACAAGTCAAAATAGTGCAAGTTAAGTTAGTTTTATGGTTACTCAAATGAAAATGACGATTTATAAATGTTAAAACACCTGTTATGTGATGAGTATTAAACCATACAACCGATATGCAAAAATTGACATATAAATTCGGAGTCAAAATAAGTCATCATGATATACACAATAAAGTCGAAATATTCAATGAAGTAGAAATAATTAAAAATAAAATACAACCGAACATAAATCAAAACTACAAATCCTATTAACTACTCCGTATGCCGGACTCGAGCTCCTTAGGCTCTTTTGCCCCCCGTGCTCTGACGCTGCCTCCAGTACATCATTGTCTCTGTCATAATGGCATCTAGGACCTCCCTCGCCTAAGAGCCATCAAGAAATACAGCTCTGTCAATACCTTCTTGCACAATCTCCACAATACGACAATATCTAGGCAACACATTATGAGCACGATCTAACCCAACCAGCTCCTCATTTAGAATCTCCTGATGAGCTGACTTCGGTGGATCTCCTAGACAGCCTGCACCATATATAGATATGACACCTTGAAGAACCACCTGATGTACTAGTCTACATAGCTCCAATTGCTCTTAGCTATGGTGCTCCGTGCCTCCTCTAATACCATATGACTCAGATAATTATCAAACATATCTCCGATACCATATGACTCAGATAATTATCAAATATATATATATATATATATATATATATATATATATATATATATATATATATATATATATATATATATATATATATATATATATATATATATATATATATATATATATATATATATATATATATATATATATATATATATATATATATATATATATATATATATATATATATAGTCCTCAGATAACTTAGATTACAAGTAGACCAAACAAGTGGCCCCTCAGTTGCACACATGGATCCGCTCAAAGTCCTCGAAGTATCGTATGTAGAGGACATCCACAAGTGACACTGGTGTCCACAAAAATGGCAGTGCCAACCAAATATAACATGTATGCTTTCATGGTGGTTTCAAACTCCCCAAAGACAGCGTTTGGGTTAACTCCCATATAATCTACCATAAACTCAAGTGCCTCATCTATGTTAATCCTCTATGATCTAAAAGCTTTCCTTTAATCGGAAGATGTAACAGACACGACACATCGTCGAGTGTGATAGACATCTCACCAAGTGGTAGATAAAATGATGAGATCTCAGTATGCGATCTTTCTACAAATGTATTATGTAACACCTGAGGTGAAAGAGGACGGTGGTTACATGTAACACCCGCGGGCGAGGGAGTGGTTGTCGGTGTCATGAGGCATGACAATGAGACACTCCTAGCAGCTTCTAGGGGAAAACCGAATTCACATCCGAATGAGAGGGATCCTGAGGCTATGCAGGTATGAGACTACATGGTTGAATGAAGGCTTATAAGGATTAATTGGTACTACCTATACCAACAAGATGCATCTTCTTTTCGGTAGCCCGTTCATAAGAACTCCACAGTTAAGCGTGCTTGACTTGGAGCAATTCTGGGATGTGTGACCTTCTGGGAAGTTTCCTGGAAAGCGTGTGATTGAGGACAAAGCATGCTGAAAAGACCCGTGTTGGTTTGTGGGGTTAGTCGGTAATCCTAAAAAGCAATATGGGGCGTTACATAATACACCATAAGTCAATGTGAATACGATGAATATAAACAATATTGAGCTTCATTATTTAATTTTAATTGTTATGCATATGTATAAATTATGGGTCATTCATTTGTAGTCTCTTAACTTAGTTTCTTATAGGTTAAGAAACCAAAATTTTGGTGATGGAGAAAAAGAAAAACATAGAAACTTTTTACATCTATTATACCATAATACAATGTGATTATGGTAAACACAAATAATATTGAGCTTAAAAATTTAATTTTAGTGATTACCCATGTAGATATAATTTATTTGTCATTCATTTGTAGTCTTTTAACTCTGTGGCTTACTGACGAAGAAACATGAAATTTGGTGATGGAGAAGAAACATATTCAATATATTTACATCAAATAAACCATAATTCAATGTGAAAATGGTAAATATCAATAAATTATAGCTTGATTATTTAATTTATTTTTTACCTATTTTATTGAAAATATATGTCATGGATTATAGTCTTTTAACTTTGTTTTTTAGTGGGGAAAAACCTAAAATTATGTGATGGAGTAGAGAAATAAAATATAATTAATTTTTTACATCTACTATAGTCTATTATGTTTTTTGCTTTGTGATATAAAAACCTAAAACTTTGGGATGGTGAAGAAAAATATTGAATATTTTTAGATGTAATACACCATAAGTGAATGTGAATACGATGAATATAAACAATATTGAGCTTTATTATTTAATTTTAATTGTTATGCATATGTATAAATTATGAGTCATTCATTTGAAGTCTCTTAACTTAGTTTCTTCAAGGTTAAGAAACCAAAATTTTGATGATGGAGAAAAAGAAAAACGTAGAAACTTTTTACATCTATTATACCATAATAAAATGTGATTATGGTGAACACAAATAACATTGAGCTTAAAAATTTAATTTTAGTGATTACCCATGTATATAGAATTTATTTTTCATTCATTTGTAGTCTTTTAACTCTGTAGCTTACTGACGAAGAAACATGAAATTTGGTGATGGAGAAGAAACACATTCAATATATTTACATCAAATAAACCATAATTCAATGTGAAAATGGTAAATATCAATAAATTATAGCTTGATTATTTAATTTATTTTTTACCTATTTTATAGAAAATATATGTCATGGATTATAGTCTTTTAACTTTGTTTTTTAGTGGGGAAAAACCTAAAATTATGTGATGGAGTAGAGAAATAAAATATAATTAATTTTTTACATCTACTATAGTCTATTATGTTTTTTTTGCTTTGTGATATAAAAACCTAAAACTTTGGGATGGTGAAGAAAAATATTGAATATTTTTAGACGTAATACACCATAAGTCAATGTGAATACGATGAATATAAACAATATTGAGCTTTATTATTTAATTTTAATTGTTATGCATATGTATAAATTATGGGTCATTCATTTGTAGTCTCTTAACTTAGTTTCTTATAGGTTAAGAAACCAAAATTTTGGTGATGGAGAAAAAGAAAAACATAGAAACGTTTTACATCTATTATACCATAATACAATGTGATTATGGTGAACACAAATAACATTGAGCTTAAAAATTTAATTTTAGTGATTACCCATGTAGATATAATTTATTTGTCATTCATTTGTAGTCTTTTAACTCGGTGGCTTACTGACGAAGAAACATGAAATTTGGTGATGGAGAAGAAACATATAGAATATATTTACATCAAATAAACCATAATTCAATTTGAAAATGTTAAATATCAATAAATTATAGCTTTATCATTTAATTTATTTTTTACCTATTTTATAGAAAATATATGTCATGGATTATAGTCTTTTAACTTTGTTTTTTAGTGGGGAAAAGCCTAAAATTATGTGATGGAGTAGAGAAATAAAATTTATTAATTTTTTTACATGTACTATAGTCTATTATGTTTTTTGCTTTGTGATATAAAAACCTAAAACTTTGGGATGGTGAAGAAAAATATTGAATATTTTTAGACGTAATACACCATAAGTCAATGTGAATACGATGAATATAAACAATATTGCGCTTTATTATTTAATTTTAATTGTTATGCATATGTATAAATTATGGGTCATTCATTTGTAGTCTCTTATATTAGTTTCTTATAGGTTAAGAAACCAAAATTTTGGTGATGGAGAAAAAGAAAAACATAGAAACGTTTTACATCTATTATACCATAATACAATGTGATTATGGTGAACACAAATAACATTGAGCTTAAAAATTTAATTTTAGTGATTACCCATGTAGATATATATTATTTC